GGAACCGCCATCGCATTGCCTTTCTGACTGTTTCTCGACCAAATCTTAGCTTATTCAAGACTTTGGGGGCTCGTTCTCATCCCCTGAATCTGAGGAATCACGTAGTTTGACTCACTAAATGACAAAGACTTTGTATCAAGTGCAGGACCCTCAAGGAGAAATTTGATGTGCCCTGAGTTGCGCGTTCTGGCCGCCAGTGTTGCGCGCACCCGGTGCTTGCCACGGACATAGGATTTGGCCAATGTTGTTGCACCCACTTGGTGTTTCCCATGGCAAGTTAGCAGGCTTTTACTTCTCCTATTTCTTGTTCACGGCGTGATATGACCGAAATCCACCAAATTTGTTGGTGCATACGTATGGATTTTTTTGAGCTGGTTGTGAGTGCGTGAGGGACATTCTTGGTGTTCAGATAAGTCCAAATACATCCCTAGGCAATATATACACTTCAACCTGGGAAGTCGAGACTTTTCGTCATCTGTAACACAAGCCATTCCGTCCAAAGAGCAATTTCACCCACCTTCTGTGTCAGAAACACATCTGGATACAGTCCTGATACCACATAGATGTGAAGTTTCTCTGCACATAATAATACATTCATATCCATTATATAGTTTGGCATATCTTGGGATAAACAGCACCACTCGCAATGAGTGAATTGGGCGGGTGGCCGGATAGCTAGTTTTTGCCATTTTGGGACATGCCCAGAAAAGAAAATCAGCCAGGCATGAAATTGTATCCTAAATTCTGGAGAAAAAATAGGTTCACTTATAGTATGTGGTACATCATTTGGGACCCCCCAAACACGCATTCAAATGTCGCTATGTACGGGAATGAGGCTAAAGATGCTTAGGTGGCCGGATAGCCAGTCTCAGATAGTATGCATTCTCACTGGATCTATTCGGGCTGATCCAAAAAAGAATTACTAGCCTACCGAGCTTCAAATCTGTGAAAGCAGTCGGACATGGTGTACGGTACACGGCCTCTCAACATGTCGTCATTGGCACAAGGTTGTTGGAGGTAGAGCGGGGTTCGACTCCCCGTGTCCGTATGAATGGATCTTCTCCACTCTTTTTTTCTCTCGATTTGTACTCCCCGGCTTCTCCCCCTTTTGAACGCGGGAAAAGTTCAAATCCTGGCGTCCTAGTGAGGTTGAATATTTTGCGTGCATCGGGCGTCTCAGTGCAATTGTGTTCATTGACGAATAATCTAACTGGAATGTTGCAAAGTACTACAGCCTTTGTAACAGTACGAGGGATCGGACATGGTGTAAGGTACACCGCCTCTCGTCGTAGGGGGGAATTGCCGTATTGGAGGTAGAGCGGGGTTCGACTCCCCGTGTCCGAATGGAAGGTCTGAGGCATTATTTTTAAGGCTTTATTCAACTTCAATTTTTCGACGGCAGGGTGCGATCTAGAGAAAAAAGGATGTGCATGCGCTGGTGTTAGATTTTCTTGTGGGTCTGTTCTAATGATTTCGCTTGATCCCCAGAATATTGATAACATAGCGAACTTCTCAGAGTCAAGGGGTAGAGAAATCGGATTTGGTGTATTAGTATGAGGCGGAATCCATCAAGAATCCACCGGCGCGCAGCAAGAAACGCGTGGGCGCGAGGAGCCACATAAGTTTGAAATTGGCGTACACACGGAACGATTGTGTCATGCGGGGGCGGAGGCAAGAGTGAGTGAGTTGGATTATTTTTATTTTTATAAAGGTACGCAGGTGAAAGACGCACTGGGAATGCAATGACAATAACAAGCCGAGGAACGGCAAAAGAACTCGCGGAAATGAAGGGCGTAACATGTAAGCCCTAGAATGAGACACCACCCAGTTTACGTTGAGACCCCGGTCGGATAAGTGACTGGTGGGCGGAATATGGTGGAATGGAACGCGCACGTCGCGAGGATTTAGAACAAGGTGGAAAGAACCGCAATCTGCTGGAAAGAGAAGCCAAAGATCGTGAGCGGCCAATAATTAATATTAACGTAAGGAGAAAACGACGGTGACCCTTCGAAGCAGGTATCGAAAAGGAGTCTAACTTAACAGCGCTTACTTTTCGGGTTCATCAGATGAGGCGATATCCACGCTACCAGGTTGGTATTCATAGGGTCAGGCGACGTACCTAGAAATGACTGTTTGCAGTGATACCACGCAAAAATATGTTGCCCACGAGTGAAGAAATAAATCCAGCACGATATACCGAGTGTCTTGTGCGTGCGCCTCGCACCCAAACTCGGGCACCTGAGGAAAAATAGTTAATTCTGAATTGTTTGAGCTGCAACATGAACGGGGAGCGCACCGCAAAGGAAACGTAATACAGAGGTCCCATTCGACGACATGCGCGCTGTTTTTGTTTTTGAGAGAGTAAAGAAGGAACTCGTCCTCGAAGAGTAAGTACGGCTAGCTTCAAGAGAGTGGCGATCTAGTGTCCTGCCAGGCACTCCACTCAGAGACCCGGAGTGTCTCACAATAGAGGCGCGTGGGAGACGCTGGGTTTCTGCAACACAGACAAGACAACAGACCCGCGCCGGTTTAAGGAGAGCTACGTGTTTGCATGCGTTTCATGACCATGGCGGCTGGAATTCAATGTTGATGCCGAAACGTGCAGGCGTAAGCGGACAACACGAGAATCAGTTCTAGGACGAGGAGAATGGTAACGTAAGTAAACGCACCGGGCGTATCCCTCAAACAGAACAGAAATCGCGTCTGGGATGTGATTCTGATGCCAAACGTGTGGGCGTTCGGGGAAACGCGAGATATCGGTTCCAGGACGAGGTCAATGATCAAAGTAAGTAGATGCGCCGGAGGTATCCACAAAACCGCAGAGAGCAGCGCACAAGTCCAGCAGAGTGCAACTCTTGCAGCAGAATCCCAGTCCACGGACCCACTGCCGGTTAAAGAAGCCTCAGATGACAATTTTTTAACCCGCCAGACGCCGCGAGGCGTTTCAGCGTTGACGAAGCAAAGATCTCCCAGGGCGCGTTACGATGCGGCGAGAGCTCAGAGTGTAGTCCGCGGTTATCAGGGAAATAATTTGTAGAGGAGCAGCACTAGAAGTGGGCGGAGGATTAGCTCCAGGCTCAGGACTAGAGAGGATGCTGGAAGTTGAGAGCAAGAGACAATTGATGCGGTCGCCGATCAACACAGCCACGATGTCTCTTCTCTCGTACGCGTCTCAATTCGATCTTCATCTCTCTACTAGTACTAGTACTGTTCTAGTCCTTCCTCTGAATGGCCTCATAATAGTCTCTATGTAACCCTTCCATGGCGGATTGCTCCACTAGTTATGCTCTCCACCCACATGCGTCCCTTCGCCGGCAGTCCTTCGCACCCAACAATTTGAAGGAAAGGCATTATACTCCCTAGCCTCCTATGCCTTCCAATCCCGCTCAAGGGGATAATGCCCTTATTCTCAACAAAAGCCTGCGCGTTAACGACATCCCTTTTGTGTAGGTACCATTGCCACAAGCACGTCTCTCGCGTCTGATCCCCCCGCTCTCTCCGCGTCGTCGAATACGAGCCTGCTACACTGCCTGGCCTCCCCTACGCCCTACGACTTCCTGCTCTTGACGCCACGCCAGCGCACACCTGATACCTATCCCGCACCACCACCCTATGCGCAGCATATGACGATGGTGTTCCTCGCGGGCTACGCCGCCTCCGTCGCCTCTCCTGCGACCGTCTCTACAGCAAACCCACCATGCCGCTCGAGACTGACGCCCGCCGCGCACCGCGAATCACGGACAGCGCGGGCGCTAGACCTCCTTGTCGCCGGCGCCGCCTTTATCCGCTCCTCGCGGCACCTTGACCTCCCACCCCCACTGGCACCGCTCGACGTGCGCGCTTCGGCGCATCCCCAGCACCTTCACCGGCGCGTTCCCTCGCGACGGCGTGATCGCGGTCGGCGGCGGCCTCCCCCATCCCAATCGCAGTCCTCTTCGGCGTCGGCGTCTTCACAGTCGCAGCAATCACTCGCCGCTCCACAACAACAACAACCACAACCCCCAATGGCAACAAATGCCCGACTAGGCAGGCCAACTCCTTAGAAACACCCTCGGATCCGTCCTCAGCCCAGGCGGCGGCGGCGCGCTCCTCGGAGGCGGTGGCGACGGGGGGCAAAAGAAGAAAGAAGCACTGAACAGCTGCGGCTGGATCTGAATCTGGAGGTGGACGTGGAGATCAAGGCGAAGGTGCATGGGATGTTACGCTTTCGTTGATGTGAATGTTTTCAATCTGCGTTCATTCTCCCTTCCTTTGTCTGCGTTCTTTCTTACCCCGATGATAGCTTGTCTTACCCAGCCCCGCGCGGCGCTCTGATCCGAGCCAGTCACTGACAACTTCGCCCAGGGCGTGAGGCGCCATCCCGGGTTCGGTAGCGGGTTCGACGATTCAGGGTTCGGCCGCGGGTTCGACGATCCTGGGTTCGGGTTCAAGGATCGCGGGTCGGCGTTCAAGGATCGCGGGTCGTTGTTTGATTAGGCCTGTGGGACTCGGCTGGGTTGGGATATGGATACTTGACTCATCTGTACGAGTATCATCTCTGTACTGCGTTCGCGGGGCTATGCCAGTCTAAACTTGTTCGAGTCCCCGTGTCCGAATGTGACCGCAAGCTTCCCTTAGACTTATTTTTGGAGTCAGATTAAGCCTGCGTGTTCAAATACAACCGTGATGTTTCACTTGCAAATTTTGGGGTGTTGCAAAAAGAAAATAGCTAAGCTAGTGAACTTCGTAGGGTGTAAAGCAGTCGGATATGGTGTAGGGTATATGGCTTCCTAACATACACTTGAATAAGGCGATTGCTGGAGTTCGACTCCCCGTGTCCGAATTTTCAATCCCTCGTCCTTCTCTTTTTTTTTGGCCCAGCCGCCTAGTTTGGGCCCAGGCCTGGGTGTTCAAAGCCCAAAGTACAACGCAACCGTGATGTTTAACATACAAATTTTTGCTGAATTCGGTCAGTGTCCCAAAAAGGGCTAAGCTAATGAACTTCGTTGGGGTGAAAGGAATCGGACATGGTGTATTGTACACGGCCTCCCAACATGTGTCATTGGTGGCATACAAAATTGTTGGAGGCAGACCGGGGTTCGACTCCCCGTGTCCGAATGAATGGTTGGATGTTCTACATTTTTTTGCAATGCCCGGCTCGCAGAAATATCCGACTTGTGAGCGCCGAAAAAGGTTCAATGGGGTCTCACCAGTGAGGCTGAATATTTTTACGTCTCAGTGCAATTGCGTTCATTGGTGAATAATCCAACTGGAATATTGCAAAGTACTACAGCCTTTGTAACAGTACGAGGGATCGGACATGGTGTAGGGTACACCGCCTCTCGTCTTAGGGGGAAATTGCCGTATTGGAGGTAGAACGGGGTTCGACTCCCCGTGTCCGAATGGAAGGTTGAGACATTCTTTTTGAGGCTTTGTTCAACTTCAATTTTTCGACGGCAGGGTGCGATTAGAGAAAAAAAGGATGTGCATGTGCTGGTGTTGAATTGTTTTGTGGGTCTGTTCTAATGATTTTGCTTGATCCCCAGAATATTAATAGCATAGCGAACTTCTCAGAGTCAAGGGGTAGAGAAATCACATTTGGTGTATTAGTATGATATATATGGCTGTGAACGACACAGGGGTGGCAAAAGGTTCGATATCGATAGGACTCAGAGGCATCGATCGGAGTGGTCGAAACAAAAAATGCTAACTTAGCGAGCTTCGAATGAGTGAAAGGAATCGGGCATGGTGTACGGTACACGGCCTCCCCTCATAGGAGAGATGTTAAGAAGAAGTTTGTTGGAGGCAGACCAGGGGTTCGACTCCCCGTGTCCGAATGGTCGACATAGTGTATGCTGCAATTTATTTTTGGTAATGCCCGGCGCGCAGAAATTTCTGACTTGTGAGCGCGTAAAAAACGGTTCAATGGGATCACATAGTACTAGTGGTGAGTGAGGTTGAATATTTTGGGGGCATCGGGCGTCTCAGTGCAATTGAGTCATTGACGAATAGTCTAACTGGAATGTTGCAAAGTGCTACGGCCTAGTGAGGTTTCTAACAGCACAAGGAATCGGACATGGTGTAGGGTACACCGCCTCTCGTCTTGTAGAAGATTTTGCACTCATGTTCGAGGCGGACCGGGGTTTGACTCCCCGTGTCCAAATGGTTGGCTACCTTGCAAGCTTTTTTTGTTCTTGTCATGTCGGGCCCGCAGAAGTTTCCGAGTTGATAAACAGCCCCGGCCGCGGGGCAACAAACGGGCTCAATATCAATATCCGTGGGCGGATAAGTGAAGTGAAGTTGAATTATCGAAGCTGATCAAGATTTTGAGGACAATCTCTGCATCGGGCATGTCGGACATCTGCTCGGGCTGTTCCGGATCCAAAATTTGGTAACCCAATGAGCTTCGTTGGCGAGGGAATAGCTCGAGCGTGGTGTATGGTACACCGCTCTTTTCTATCATTAACTGTGAAAGATTGGAGGCTCCCCGGGTT